AATCCAAATTCACTGCCATCAAGTCAGATTGGACTCAAAGCGACCCCTCCTCCTTGGGTTTCCCAGGCAGTATCACTACGGAACTAGATTGCCCAACCTTCATTCTGAGAAGTGGCTGGTAGGTTTGAACCACCAGCCTTCTGATTAGCAATCAAATGCCTTAGGCACTATGCCAACGTTTCCCTACCCTAACCCGTTAAATCCATTGCCCTCGAGTTTGATTCCAACTCATAACGACCCTATACCTTAGCACTATAGGAATTAGGACTACAAATTAACTTGCCCATGGGGAGAATATTTATCAATTCTTCTGATGCACCTTCCTAAACTTCCTCTCAAATGTGAAATAAAGTATATCGTTTTAAGAATAATTTAACCAAAACCTCCTTTCCCCAAATATTCATATCTGCGGGCTTGAACAAGGCTAAGAACCCCATTGTCACAATTTGGGAGAATTTCAGGTAATCAATAAGCACATATACCTAGAGAAAATGGAAGGGGAAGGATAAAGAATCACCAGGATAAAGAATATAGAGTGGACATTAAAAAAACTGCACAGTGATAACAACAAAATACGAATGCTTTGCAGAAGTAAATTCTTTTTTTTTTTTTTATAAAGACTGACTGCCTATAAAGCCATCTTCCATGACATTCCTTAAAGTATCAAAAAACCATCTTTCATGACAGTCCTTAAAGTATCACTGTATATATAAAATTTAGCCATCTGATTACATTTGGAAGAGAAAAAAAAAATACTGCCATTGAGTTGATTGCAAGTCATAGCAACCCTACAGGACAGAGCAGACCTGCCCCACAGGGTTTCTAAGGCTGTTAATCTTTACAGAAGCAGACTGCCCAATCTTTCTATTGGAAAGCAGTGGTGGGTTTGAACGGCTAACCTTTGAATTAGCAGCCAGATGCTTTAAACATTATACCACAAAGCTCCTTATACTTGGGAGAGGGGTGTTTGTTAATTCTAACGCAGAGCCAGCCGGAGTTGAATCTCACCATCACTTACTAGTTGTGTAACCTGGGGGGGAGTTATTTACTTTCAAGACCTTATATTTTCTCAATTCTAAAATGGAGTGAGTAACAGTACCCATCTGAAAAGGTTGTTGTATGAAGCAATACATTCCATGTAAGCACTTAGCACAGTGCCTGGTGCATAGCAAGAATTCAACACTCTTCCCCTATGTTATATTAAAGTTAATTTTGGTAGTGTCCATCACCAATAACTGAATTGATTTCACTGACTAGGTCAAGATAATAACAACTAAATGATCTTCACATATAATATACTTAATATACCTAGTAAAGTAGCTAAAAAATGTTCGAAGTAGAATAAATAGAAAGACACTTCCAAGTATAAAATATAATCTGGGTCCTACCTCTTGCCACCCTAAGGAACCTCTCCCAACTGCAGTTTAATCACCAATTCCAAAAGATAGAAGGTACTGGGTTTGCTGACCAGATTCTATAAAACTTAATGTCAAGTCCAGCAACAAAAGGAATTGCCTGGGAACTATTTCCCTCTAAAGCCACTCATTCCAGATAAATATGATTGCTCTGACAGTACAGTTTTGCACCGATCTGAAAAAAAAAAAAAATCTCATCACATACTTTCTCAAACCTTGGGTAGTAGCTGTTTCTTTTCTTAAAGAATCTTTAAAATTACCTACCATAAACCCTATTCACTTTTCCTCTTAAATCACTATCTGCCTCATCTCAGTTCTGTCCCCTTCCAGCCCAGGAGGAAATGTGCACTGTCTGACAAAGTCACAGGCAGACAAGTTTAGTCCAGAATGCACTACACTGAACAGACCGATCCAGTGGTCACGGTGATAGCCGTTTCCTTTGGGTGAAAACTGCCGCTGGCCAGGATCGAAGGTAAGCACCCCGTACGTTACATAACCCCATATCCCACTGCTGTCGAGTCGATTTTAACTCATATTGACCCTACAGAACAGAGTAAAACTGCCCTAACAGAGTTTCCAAGGCTGTAATCTTTACAAAAGCTGACTGCCACATCGTTCTCCCGTACAGCAGCTGGTGGGTTCGAACCACCAACCTGTCGGTTAGCAGTTGGGCGTTTAACCAGTGTGCTACCAGGGCTCCTGTGCATAACCACAACAAACTAAAATAATTATTCCCATTTTACAGACAGGCTAAGAGATGTTAGGGGACTTGGCCAAGGTCAAAACCCTGTCAGTGGCGATGCCACGACTCAGACTCAGCGGTTATTCTTCCAGAGGCTCTTCCCAATACACAGGTAGGCTCTCACCCCTTGGGAACTCTTCCTTCGAAACGCAGCCCTCACCCGCCTACCGGCACAAATCCACAGGTGCGCCGCAGAGTCGCCAGCCCGCCCGCCAGGGCGCCTGCTTGCCGAGGCCCGGACGGCCCCGCAGGCCAAGACCGCCGCCCCTGTACCTGGGTCTCGCTCCCAGAGGAAGCACCGGCCTGCCCAGCCCTTCCAACCCCTGTGCTCCATTGTTCCCGATCCTACTTACCTGAGAGGACGCCGGCGCAGGCCCGGCTGGGGCGCTCGTAGCCAGCTCCCGACGGCCAAGAAAGCTAGGTCGGTGACGGCAGGATCCGCGAAGGCGTACCCGGCGACTTCTCCGCCTACCCTCCGGAGCTTGAGCGGGCGGAGGTGCTTCACCCTCCTCGCGAGACAGCGGAGACCCTGGCGGCGGCTGCGACCCCTGTGACGTAACGTGGTCATCACCAATAGCAGCTTGGAGGCGGTGTCAACAAACGAGATCCCACCCAGCAACCCCCTGGCGCGTCAAAACACTATAACCGCCTTCTTAACGCATGCGCATTAGAAGGGCGCTGGTACTGATCGAAGAGCTTAGCCCGCTCCAGCTCGAAAGTGGGCCCTTCCCCCACCTCTCCATTCTTGGAATGAGAGCAATGTGACCATCTGGGGAGAAATCACAACCACCGTCATGATTCGTGTTATTAATCGCTGGGGGTTACTGGGGCACTAACTTAATGTTCTCTAGTAAATTACTGGAAAACATAATAAGTAGAAAATGTACTAGCTTGGTCTCATTTAAATATCACCAAACTCGGGGAGGACCCACTAAAATTATCTCCATTGTACAGATAAAACTGTGTTAAACGGAATTGACTTGACTATCGGTTGCAGAGTTAGGAAATAACATCGGGATTTGAATGGGATCCAAAGCCAGACCCCAGTTTACTATACAGCCTGCTATATTACCCCAGTTCAGGGGAAAATGTTCAGGACCTAATAGAACAGGCCATGAACTCTTCCCCAGAACAGATATAATTTTCTCTCAAAAAACTTTTTATCCCATGTCCACTCCCCAAAATGTGGATTACTCTAAAATAATATCTGAGATTTATAAAGAACTGCCTACAACAGGCCACGGCCAGACACTACCACTCGCGCCTCAAATGTACGTTTCCCATTTTACAAGTGAAATTGACACAACCAGTCACAATGCTCAACAAACACTTGTTGATTGGCTGGTGCATTATGCCGAGTAATTCCTGCCACGTATTTCTTAGGAATATCATATACAATAAGCTATTGCGCTCTCAGAGACAAACAGTTTATTGAAGGGTTCAATTAACTGGGATTCCCACCTCGACTCGTCACTGTTCTATAAAGTAGTAGAGGGCATTCTTGTTTACGCCACGGCTGTATATACAAACGTCTATATTATGTGCAAACAGATGTGGGGAAAAAGTTTCCTTTCAGCATTAGATACTGGTGCAATATTTAAAACGCAGATTGTATTTTTCAGATAAACTGTTAAATGTACACGACTGCACATTATCCTGTATTAATACTGCAGCCAACTGGAAAGAAAATCGGCTGGGGAGGTACACCTATCTCTTTAGGCGGCAAAAAACAATTTTTAACGTATTTTCTCATTTATCTCACTCCTTCCCCGCAAAGCGGGCTAGGCCCCCATCACGTGACCCCGACTTGCGCTCAGGGCGGAAGAGGCCATCCTGACCGATGGGAAAAGCTCCCGAATGCTAGTGGGAGGACGTTCGTGCCAGGCTGAAAGATGGCCGCTGCCGCCCAGCAACCACCGCCCCGGAGGTTACTGAAGAGCCCGCAGCTTCCGCCAGTTCCCTCGGACCGCCGCCGCCACCTTACCATGAAGCCAGTGGATCGCCGCACACTGGACTGGATTTATTCAATGGTAGGTCCCGGGTCTGGCGGGGCTCCACGGTGTCGACTCTCTAGGCCCGTAGGCGTGAGGTCCTCTATTTCTTCAATACCCACAAACTCCAAAATCCATTCCTGAATTAAACATTTCACTCCCTCACCTCGACTCCGCCTCTTCCTGGAGGACACGATCTTCCGCTTCTTACGTAGGGGCTCCTGGGTGTGCGTGTCTGAAGAATCCCATTTATTTAATGAGTTTGTCGTTGTAATTCCCACCTTTGCAATGGTACCATTAACTTGATAGGGGTGGGGGAGGGTCACCCACATTACAGTAATTTTTTTTTTTTTTGCTTTTGCTTTTGTTTTTTTAGTTGCTCGTTATGATCGTATTACTCTCCTGGGGGTCCGTAATTAGTGCATCAACTGTAGCTGCACGACGACATCTAACGGAGAAATACCCAGACAGAATCTTCTGGATGCATGAAAATTTTTAATTTCTTTGGATTTCATTCTCTGCAAATATAGCTCTTTATCTCATGCTTATTTGACACCTGTTTAGATTTAAAAATAAAAGCCATAATGTAAAGCTTCCAAATTTGTCTTTGCATAGCTCTTTATAACACTAAAATGCTAATTTTTCAAAGCCTTGACGAGATTTCTTACAATTTTATATAAAACTCAAATGAGCCACCTAGATCTGACAGTCTCTTGAGTATCAGCTCATAAAAGGAATCTATGCATTTCAATCTGGAGTTCAATTCTAAAATACTTTTTTAAATGCCTCAGAAAGATTTCTTTAAAACAAAAGTGTATGACTTTTTTTCTAGTTGTATTTCTGTTGCATTCCCTCGGATTAGACTAGATTAAGTACTGTATAAGAAAAAGTCTGTTATATGACTAAGGACTTTTCTACATCTTGTTTTCCAGTTCAAGAATGACAGAACAAGTAGGCAGTCACTCATATCATTTGTTTTGATGTTCAATTCAAAAGGTCTCAAATTAGACAGTATTTTGGAACAGATAAGACAACACATTTCTGACAGTAAACTCGTAAGTTTACTTTATTAGTTACTTTTCCAGAAAATATATTCAGTAAATGTGGTAATGTAGGAGTTGGGTTCATAAGCCTTTGAAATATTTAAGTATTCTTCAATGATGTTGATCCGGATACTCTTTCATTGGTGGAATTACTTCTCCAGTCTCCAGAATTGTATCACCCTAGGAAAACAAAGATGCATTAGTAGGAAAATCTTGTAGGGCTGATAGTTCTACCCTGTTCTACACGTTGGTCATTCTTCACATGGAAAATCTGCTTCAGCTCTGGCATTCACACTTTAGGAGGGACTTTAAGTATAAGCTGTCTAAAGATGAACCACCAGTGTTCAAAATCTTAAGGTACAAATGAAAGAAGCTTCACTCAGAAACAGAACAACCAGAAGAGTCATGAAAGTTTTCACCAAGTGAAAAAGGGATAATCCTTATTTTGAATGGCCCCAAGAAATGAGAGAAGCTCTAAAAAGTAGCTGCAGAAAAACATGTTCAGTTCAATATAAGGAAATAATGTATTCCAAGCAACTGGTGTTAAGCAACTGCCAGTTTAATGCTTGGCTTAGATATTAGAGACATAATGCAGACCTCAGCTGGGCAGCTGTATCTAAAATCTAGATACAGTGTGTGTGGAAGAAAGGATATTGTCTTTGGAGCTGGAACCAAATGGTGAGAATCATGGTCCTTCCACTGAAATGTAAAATTTTAAGACAAATTAGCTCCTCTGAGCTTCAGTGTGGTGCAGTGAATTACTTGGTATGGCATTTCTAGCCACGGTCTTTTTGACTCCCACCAGATTACTGGGTAGGCTCATGCAAATAAGGTGTATGGAATTCTAATGTGAGGATGGGTTAGTTTTGCTATGCTGCTGGGCTTAAAATGAGCTTCCTAAAGGATCTCACTGCCATCAAGAGAGAAGCTGGAGTTGGAGTAGAGTGTGTCCTTGGACCCGAGATCACTGCACTGGACCTCCTTGGTGAGAAGCCCCAGCAGAACGCCTGGCTGAGAGACAGGAGCAGTGGAACCAAGAGGCATGAGAAAGAGTAGGGGGCACATAGGTGTACTTATCCAGTAGAGCTAAAGGAGCTTTTTCACACTTGCCCGGGCAGAGCAGAGGCCAGGCCAGAAGGCCAAGGTCCACAGACGCATATCTGAGGGCATAGCAGAGGGGAGACTATCCTGATCTAAGAACTGTATCCTGAGAGCCTTCTTGAACCTGAGTTGTTACTTCCCTAATAAACCCCATAATTGTGACTATTATTTGTCAGTCCTGTGTGGCCACTGCAATGAATTACTGAACCCAGCAGAGAAGTAGTGAGTGCCATGGAAAGGACTGGTGGTGTCAGAAATTGGTTAAAAGGCTGGAGGGTGGTGCCATGTCTGGCCTCATAGGAATAAACCTTGGGCTGTTGATGGTGACTCTGTTTTCCCCATGATGAGGTTAGAGATCAGAGGATGCCGCCCCCACGCCCTTTTTGCATTCAGTCATCTCACCTGTATAATGGAGATAACAATCCCTAGCTCATAAAGCACTGATTAAGTATTTGGCATATTGTAGACAATCAACCAATAGTAGCTATTAATATACTTTTATAAATTCTCACCATGAGAATGATTTAAATATTTTACATGAGCATCCTGTAGTTTTACAAAAGATAAGACAAGTTACTAAGTGTTGGTATAGTAGTTAAGGCATTTGGCTGCTAACCAAAAAGTCGGTGGTTCAAGCCCACCAGCTGCTCCACGGGAGAAAGATTGGGCAGTCTGCTCCCATAAAGATTTACAGCCTGGGGAACCCAAGATCAGTCACTATGAATCAGAATCAACTTGAGGGCAGTGAGCTTGAGTTTGGTCATACAAATTTTATAATGCCAAGAGAGGAAAAAAGGGGGTAAGAAATGCAGCCACACAACCTGTAGGTGTACCAAGTGCTTCCAGCAACCTGGGCCATTTTACTCCCCATTGGGAGAGAGACTTGGATTTGCAAGGCTGAGAAAAGTTTTCCAAAAGGAAGCAGGAACATTTGTATATAATTGGATTTCTACCACACTTAGTCACTCATTTCACCTGCGAGTAAAGAGACTTTCCCCCAGGAATATAACTGGTTCAACTCTACAGTTCTCAAGAACTATTAATAAATACACTAGAATTGTGAATTTTTATTTTCAATCATTTACATTATCATAGTCTGTGGTTTAGCAAAAGTCCTTCCCAAACATGTAGACCTAGAAAGCATTTCTGGCTGGGCTGTAGATATGCTTGTGAGAAAAAGGCATTTTTCTGTATGCTGGTAGAGAGCAGGGCTCTTGTACCACTTTATCACTGTGTAACTTTAGGTAAGTTACTCAACTGTGCTATACCTCAGCTTTATCATTTATTATAAAATTGCAATTATAACATTAAGGTTGTTATAAAAATTAAGGCATGCAAAATGTTTACAATAGTGACTGGCACATAGTAAGGGCTCAACAAACATTAACTATTTGGTAGTTGTAGTCAGAGTAGAGTAGAGTTACTCCCTCTTAATGAATTAGAAGTAAGTCTCCCCTCAAAATACAAACTCAACACACATTATACTTGTGGTAGTCAAGGTTATGTGTCAAATTGGCTGGGCCTGGTTTTGAGTGTCTGGGCAGATGGATGTAGCATTCCCCACAATGAGACTGGTAATCAATTCCATGGTGGAATCTACTGTGAGCCGCTGAGTAGCTGTCTGAGGGAGGTGGTACGCTCCCAGTATGTAAGAAGCTTTAGGAATGGTCTATAGCTTCTGGCACGCTTGAATCCTGAATGTAGTCGAGTCATTATTCAGCAGCCTGCCATGCTGTTTACCAATCTTGGGACTCTTACGGACTTGAATCAATGGCTTGCCATGTGGTTTGGTAATATTGGGACTGTGTCTTTTTACTTGTTGACCTTGGGTTTGCCAGCCTCAGCAGCCAGCAGCTGCCTGAGTGAAGAAAGCCTCCAGCTTCAGTGGTGTGGGAACAAGAGGCAGAGCCAAAGCCAAAGGTTGAGGGGCTTTCACCCAGCCCCTAGAGCCTAGCACTTTGAACTTGGACTTCTAGCCTCCAAAACTGTGAGAATAAACTCCTATTTGTTAAAGCCATCCATTTGTGGTATTTTCTGTTAGAGCAGCATGAAGTAACCAAAATAATACTTAAAAGAATCAGAAAGATTCCTAGGCCAAAAAAGAGATTACTATGATACTGTTAACGTATCTACAAACACAATGTGTCAGAAAAAGGATGGTAGAACATAGCATGTTTGAAGGGAACAATTAAGGGACCTTTTTTTATTGGAACAAAGTATTTATGTAGAGAAAGGTAGAATGAAAGGTTTGAACAAGTTTTTTTAAAATTGCCATTGAGTCACTTCTGATTCATAGGGACTGTAGGACTGAGTCAAACTGTCCCATAAGGTTTCCAATGCTATAATCTATACAGAAGCAGAATGCCACATATTTCTCCTGTGGAGCTGCTGGTGGATTCAAACCACTGACCTTTTGGTTAGCAGCCAAGCATTTAACTGTTGCATCACCCAGGCTCCTTTTTCAACAAGTTAAGAGAGCCTTAAAGGGATATAAACACATTTACCCCAGAGGACGTGTAAAGCCATTAAGGTGTTTTGTTTTGAAATGAGGATTGTGGCAGCAATAATAGCATGCACTGCCATCAAGTCACATCCGACTAGCGACCCCTCCTTGGGTTTCTGAGGTGGTATCACTACGGAAGTAGATTGCCCAACCTTCCTTCTGAGGAGTGGCTGTGGGTTTGAACCACCAGCCTTCTGGTTAGCAGTCAAATGCCTTAGGCACTACATCACCAGAGCTTCCAGCAATTATAGGCTGCTCATCAAAACCCACGTTCTTCTCTTTTTTTCTGGATCTACAGCTAGACTACAATTTTCAGCTTCCCTTGAGGTCACATGTAGCAGTGTGAGTGAGTTCCAGCCAATGAACTGTAAGTATAAGTGATATGTACACTTTAAGGTTTAGAGACTTTGGAACCCTTGGGTTTAAGGTACCAGATTCTGTCAACCCTAAATGAATGTCCCTAAATGAATCATTCCTTGCCCAACTCCCCATTCTCTGACCTGAAACTGTTCAGGACTATGAACTTGTATTAGGTTTAAGGCATTATACATTTTGGGGACAATCTGTTACCACAGCTAGCACTGGAATGGTACTAATGATGCTGTAATAAAAATCAAACTATGTGGCACTAGCTTAATAGTCTAGCAGCAAAGACAATGAATGGCATTGGAAGCTAAAAGAAACAAAAGGTAATGGCAAGGTATTAATAAAATGTCTCCTATAGTAACTTGGGAACAGACTGCTTAATGAACTTATAGCTCTAAAAGTAGCTGAAAAAAGTGTTTGGTTATTATTGGCTGCCTTGTCAGTGTACTTCAGAAAAGATGAGCTCAAGCAAGAAGTGGCTGATTTGAGACCAGAAATAAAAATGGATAGAATCCAAAGTTCAAGACCTTGCAATACTGAAAAATCAGACTGCTTCTGAATCCCTAAAAAGTATGTAACAAAAGTTCAATATAAATCAGGAAAAAGAGGGACTCAGCCCTATGAAAAAGATCAGATTAAAGGGAATGTAGCCTTTGAACCATAGTCTGTTTCAGATGGCCTCCACATAGCTACCACTAAGCTGAGAGAGAGAGAGACACATGTAAGGGTAAAGCAGAGAAAAAATAAGAGAACTTGATAATGATGTATAGAAAGATAAAATACTTGTACATGGAACTGACTAGAAGCAAACAGATTAGATGCCTATCAAGTATTTTTCTTTGCATGCTGCAAATGTTTGAGGGAACTAGATGGTCAAAGAAAACAAACATACAGATTGCAAAAGCCTATGAATGTGTCAGCCTAAAACAACCTCTGGCACTCAACTTTCTGTTAGCAGAAGGCAGGCTTTAAAGGCTGTGCAACTCACCCAAGGAGGGCATCTTTCTCACTGCCCCTTTTAGATGTAGTCTAGGTTGATAATGGAAAAGAACCTCTAAGACAGACCCAGTGTTCAGCAAGAACAATGGACAAAAGTGTTCCTTTCAGAAAACAAAATCAGTGCCCACTCTAACTTCCCACATAGAGGTTAGGGGTCTTCACAGTGTTTGACCATTGGGATTTTAGGACTTCCTAGAACCAGTGGTTGCTGTGCTATTTATATCCCATCATTGAGCAGTGGGTATAATTGAAGATGGGATACAATTATTCTGTCGTCTTTATTGATCCTCAAATCAAGAGAAGTCACATCTAAACCTGACAGACACTACTTGCATCATCTGTAGATTTTGGATTTTGAGCCAGCTGCAGTGATAGAATGGGATTTGCAGGAGGTACTGAGTGTGTTATGTACGTGGAGAGAAGACACTAAAGAACTATTTGATGACTAGAAGGAAGGACTGGCAGAGACTGTTAGAATTAACAGTCTGAATATGTACTGATGGAAGACTAGGGGGAAAAAAAATTACATGTAAATATTTATGAAAGTACACATAGATATTTAGGACCATGAGACTTAGTTCTGGCCAGTATGATTTGAGGAGAATGATATAAGCTACTTCCAAGTTTAGACCTTAAAATCATCCCTGAGATACCTAGCCTTCTCTTCTTCTACCCTGGTGATCTTAGAAGACTCTAATTCCAGAAAGCATAACCCTAAGATTGAGAAGGGTCACATGACCCATACTAGTCTATGATGTCAATAAAAAAAAAAAATCTTTGTTTTGTTAACCCACTGAGATTTGGGGGTTTGTTTGTTACTGCCCATTCTATGCTAACTAACATATGTTCAAATGAGCATTCTTCAGATCCCCAAAGGGGAAATCCCCCAAGGGGTCCAAAGCACAAAACAGGAAAGAACCACACTGGCAAAAAATAAAGACAACAGAAGAAATGCTATGGAATCAGTGATGTGGTCTTCTGAAGAAAGCTCGTCTTCTCCTTTGAACAGTTGTTGTTGTTGTTGTTGTTTGCCGTCGAGTCGGCCCCGACTCATAGCGACCCCTCCTTGGGTTTCCGAGGCAGTATCACTACGGAAGTAGGATTGCCCAACCTTCCTTCCGAGGAGTGGCTGGTGGGTTTGAACCGCCTGCCTTCTGGTTAGCAGTCAAGTGCCTTAGCCACTATGCTACCAGAGCTCAAAATAAATAATAAGCAAATAAACTAATGGAATAATAAATTATCCAACTGGTGAAATCAGCAAGAGAGTATTCTATTTTGAGACTACCTAGGCTCTGACACATATCAATTATACACAATGAAATACAGGAGAAATCCTCTCTTATTGCCTAAAGCTGAGTTCCCAACTGGGAGGATTAGCCAATTTTGGTGGTTCTCCCCTAAAACACCACTCCACTGCAATATCTAATGGATTATTGTGACTATGTTATTTGATTGAGCAAGAATCAACACGGAGTTTTGAGTTTTGTTTTTTAAAATTATAGAATTTAGAGACTGATTATAATTACATTAACTATGACTAGAAACAGTGCAATAACATAACATGTATTTTACTAAGCCAGACAACAACCTCAAAAACATCCAGTAAAAATACCAATTGACTACTGAGTAATTTTTTTTCTAAATTTCATTTATTTTTGTTGTTGTTGTTGTTAAGAATATACACAGCAAAACAGACACTTCAAGTTTCTACAAGCACAAATTAGTAACACCAATTATATTCTTCAAATTGCAGCCACACCCGCCCTCTTTTTCTGAGTTGTTCCTCCCTCATTAACATAAACTCATTGCCCTCATCTTTCACTTGTTGTCAATTTGATTCCCTATAGATGGTTCTTAAGAGAGCATTTTGTTACTGAGTAATTTTTAATGCTGAAAAGACTAATTTAAAATTAGTATGATGTCTTATATTTTCATGGTATAAAATTTAAAACACACATTAACAGATTTTAAAATCACAGATTGAGGAGTTACGGTCAAACCTTGAAAATGAGGCAAAAAGCCATGGGAAATGATGGTTTGGATAAAAAGAGAATTCAATTGGTCATTATACTTAGGTGTCTGCTCAGGCTAGTTTCCTATGTCTTTCACCTTATATGAAATAGTGTACTAGTGAAAATAGTTTGGCACTTTCCATTCATTTTAGAACTATCAAAGTCATTCAAGAAGTTTTATAGTTAGGTTGAAAATAAAATAAGTGTGCACATCTCCCATTTTCAACTCTAATTGCTACTTCATAGTATTTCCTTTTTTAAAAATAAGAAAATACAAAATGGGCACTTAAACTGACAGTGAAAGAAAAGAACATGATCACTTAGGGGGGAGAAATAGAAAAATAATGAACAGAAGAAAAATCAGAACAGTTTTAAAGACTTACTGGGAATATTCTGGGCTTCCTTTCAACTATGGCATATGGTTTTACCTGCAATAAAAGTAGTGCTGTGTTAATTACAGCTTTAGGGTTTCTTCTGAAAAAATAATCATTTCCCAAATTTTTAACTTAAACCCCAAACTTTCACCAAACCCCAGTATCAAACATCCAGCTGTTAACTCACTATCTCCATTTGTCTTATCAAATAGTTATCTCAAACTTACCAGGTCCAATATTTAACTTCTCCCAGCCCCAAATTGTTCCTCCTTATATTCTCAGTAAATAGTACTTTCATTTCCTTAGGTTGTGAAAACCAAAAACTTTTGACTCCTCAGCAGATCTTGTTGGCTTGACTTTGAGATTATATCCTGAATCTTCTTAACATGTCCAGTATCATTATCCTTGCCCAAGCCTCTTACCATTTTTTTACCTGGACAAACGCAATACCACCTATTAGTTTCCCTGCTTCCACTCTGGCCTTCAGTCTATTTTCACACAGCAGGCAGAAAAGGGTGATCTTTTTATGATCAATCACTCCTCTGTCAGTCCTCTGCTCAAAGTATCATAACTCTTAGAGAAAAAGCCAAAGTCCCTTACTGTGATCTCTAAGAGCCTGTATGATTTGGCCCTTGGCTACCTCTTTGATCTCCTACCATTGTCTACCTCACTCACTACACCATAGCCACAGTGGCTTCTTTGCTATTAGTACAATCAGTCAAGCCTGCCTGAGCCTTAGGGCCTTTGTTCTTAATGATTTCTCTACTTGAAATGCACTTCCCCTGTATATCTGTTTGGCCCATATCCTCATTTTACTTATGTCTCCATTCAAATATCACCTCCTGAGATGTCTAAGTAAAACAGCACCTCCTGTCATTCTCTACTGAGTCTCTGGGTGGCACAAACAGTTAAATGCTCTGCTACTAACTGAAAGGTTCATGGTTCAAATCCATCCAGAGGTACCCTGGAAGAAAAGTTTGGCAATGCACTTCCTAAAGATCAGAGCCATTGAGAATTCTATGGAGCTCAGTTCTCTGAAACATCAGGGTCACCATGAGTTGAAATGGACTTGATAGCAACTATTTTAGTTTGGTATTTATATGAAAAACCATGAGATCATACCAATACCTCCATTCCATTCCAGCCCAAAGAGTTTCCCCCTCTTCCATATGTGTAACTCCCTTCTCTGACAATGAAAATCCTGGTCCCATTATCATCTATCTGTACTTATTTGATCAATCTCCCTGTATATCATCAATCTTCTGTCAATAACACCACACCACAGTATGAATACCCTCCTCACCTCAGTCAGGTTCTGACATCTTACTCTGGGTTGCCACCTCTATCACTGCCTCACCCCATCCCTACCTTCAGATGCCTTCCTCCTCTGGCTCAGGCTCCAATATCCTATATCAGGTCACCACTGCTACTGGCTCTCCAAACAAGTGCCCTCTCTCACAACCACTAAGCATCTGACACTACTCACTGGGCTATAAAAATGCCCTCTTTACTAAGTGGGTTCTGAAATTCCACGCTGGGGAGCTACCATGGCTTCTCCTTCTATACCACGCTCCCAGATGGATGCCCTCCTCGCCCTGCCTGGAATCCAGCTTCCAGCACCAGACTGTGCTATCCTCAGCTTTAAAAATATGGCAACAACATGACCATATATAGGGTTAGCAGACAATGTTTCTACATGCTTATTTGTATCTGCTGTAAGAATATCTAGGTATATAGTAGAGCTGACAAGAGGCAAGCTTGTGGTGGCTTCTTGGCCATAGCCATCTACCCAGAGGAAACAAGTAGTTGGACTTGTGGGCTCAAGATTATGGTCACAGGGGACATCAAGCTCAACTGGCATAACATACTACACAAAAACATTGTTCTACATCCTATTTTGGTGAGTAGCAACTGGAGTCTCCCCTTGTCCAGACCAAAGAAGAATGGAAAAAAAGAAGAAAAAAAAAAAAAGGCCACTGGTCCAAGTGAGTCAGCCCCTTCAAGATCTTTCATTAAAAAAATTTTAAGCTTTTAGAAACCCTGGATTCTATAGAAAGTTGTGAAAAAGCAGGAAGAATCAATGAAAGAGAAATAGAGCAAAGATAATCTTTGTCTATTTAGAATTTTTTCTTACAGAGGATCTATGCTCAAAAAAAAAAAAAAGGAGCAGAAATTCTTTTTCACCCTACTGAGGATCTCAAATTTAGACTGGTATTATTAGATCAACTACATTCTGATCATTTAAACACTATTTCTAAGGGAAATGCATTCCACATTGTAAACAACAGTAAGAATATTAACTTTTGGAACAATTACAGTTAATTTTCCCTTAACCTTTTAGCTAATAGGTTTCAAAGTAGTTCAATATCAGTTTATTTTTACTACATAAGGTAGGGTAAGGCATAGCCATATACAAATTAATTTTGGACATTAAAAATAAATTCTGAAAAACACGTACTTAAAACATACTTACATCTTCACCCAAATCCTAATAAAAAAAAAAAAACAACATACTTACATTCACATGATACTTGAGATAATAATGAATAATCCAAGCAGGTATAAGCACATGAGTGAAAGCAAAGACACTGTGTCGGTATACCTTATACAGCTGGAAAAGAAAATATGCATAGCATGAACATATATCCCATTTTATATCAGTGGCAGAGAAAAAAAGCATCCATGATAACATGTCATGATTATTTTATAAACTCTAAATGCCACATATTTCCTTAGAGTCCATGTTAGCTTCACCCACCTGAATATTTTTATTTAAGGTAGGGCCTGCTAAAGGATATCTAAAGAGTCTAGACTTAAGGCAAAGAAGTAGCTGTGGTGCAGTGAAATACTTGGTATGATTCTTCTAGCTATGGTCTTAGTGACTCCCACCAGATTACTGAGTGGAACTATTTAAATGTAAGGTGCCTTTGGCCCATGAAGGGGATTGGATAGCTTGTTGGTAATGTAAATAAGGTGCCTGGCACCCTTTTGGTGGTGGGACCATGGAAATAAGGTATATGGAACTCTAATGTGGGGCGTGGTTAGTTTTATCATTCTGCTAGCTTAAAATGAGCCCTCCTGAGCCAGAAAGAGGGGATCTCACTGCCAGAGGTAGACTGGAGGGTGTCCTTGAACCTGAAATTCCTGTGCTGGACCTCCCTGGCAGAGAGAGACAGTGGCAAGAGAAGTGAGAGATTGGCAGTAGACAGAGCAGCGACTCTGCCAGACCACGGAGTGAGAAAGCTGAATGCCTTTGAGCAGGAGGCTTGCTGGCAGAGTGGAGTGCATGTAGGTGCCCCTATCGGCAGAGCTTTGTAAGAGCTGCTCAACCAGGGCAGAGGCCAGGCTGAGAGGCCAAGGGCCAAAGAGAGGCATGCCGGAGGGCATGGCCGAAGGGAGGCTGTCCTGATCAAAGAATTGTATCCTGTGTGTGTTCCTGAATGTGACTTGTAACCTGCTACTTCCCAAATAAACCAAAGTCATGAGTATTTTCTGTGAGTTCTGTGTGGCCATTTCAACGAACCCAGCAGAGAAGTAGTGAGCGCCATGGGTGGGATGGTTGGAGTCAGAATTGGTAAAAAAGTTGGAGGGTAGTGGCATGTCTGACTTCCCCCTCCTAGTAATCAGCCTTGGGCTGCTGATGGTGCTTCTGTCTGCCCCTCACGAAGTTAGAGGAGGTCTGAAAAAGATGCTGCCCCCATGCCCTTTTTGCCGGAGCATTTTGCAAGACTACAGTAAGGCATTTATAGATATATGTTTTTTAAAAAATTGGCTGATTCATACAATGTTGACTTTCAACCATCAGCTGTCAAAAACCAACAAATAATGTCAGTGATACAAAGAGTTAGGGGAAAGTTGAATTATATCATTATAAACAAATACCTAACACTCTTTTCTCAGAAAATTTTCACCAATTCTGATGCACCAAATTTTGTAGCACAATATGAAAGTATATACAAGTGGTTTTCAACGTGCACTCCTTTCATTCCCAGCTCTGTGACCATGGTAAATGACTGAATTTTTGTAGGCCTCAGTTTTCTGACATTTAAAATGAGGATTAGAAACAGTGTCACCTTACAGGAATAAAGAATTAAATGAAGCAACACATGTAAAATCAGCGGAGAGCCAGGTACATAGTAGGCACCCTGCTTCAGCTTATTAGTGTTATTACTATTATTATTTGCCAGTGTAATTGAATTAACCAAGTAACTGAAATCAATTCTGAGATGCAGTGTTCATCACCCATAATTGATGTGATTTAATTAACAGACCTCAAGAAAATACTCAGAGATTCTGAAAATACGAACAGTCTTGAAATGAATGATCTTCTGCAGAGCAAAGTCCAAGAATGTAATTTTTACAGGAAACTGTGCTAGAAGTACATAGTGGTAGTGTTGAAACCCTGCTCTTGAATATAAGAAAGAACACCAACAGAGCACTGTCTTTTATGGCAATCACAAAGGGCTGTACTACCAGCTAAGGGCTCATTGCGCCATCGAGCAGTTGGGTATAATGTTGTTCTCTATAACCTCAACCTTAAAAGTCAGACAAGTGTCTTCAAATACTAAAATTATAGAATTTTAACTCTAGAGAATATGTGGCACTCATTCTGAGCGTCAGAACCAAACGTGCATCTATGTAGTACTGGTAGATATTAAACCGAAACAAAGATTCATCTCCACACTTGACAGCACCAGGGAATGACTCCCCCAACGCAACACATGCCCCTGGGGCTCCCAGCCCAGAACCCTTTAGTCCCTGCTAAACGATAGTCTCCATTGAACTCGATTCTCCCTCGGGGAACAACAGGAGCTTTAAGTGCGAAGCGACGTCAGCCCCGTTGTAGGGGCTGCACTAGGGGGTGTGTATAGAGAAGGGGGCGTCCGGTCACTCACCGCGTTCCTCCAGGGAGCCTGGTTCTGCAAAAACTTATGCCAGAACTCCTCCAGAGGCCATAACCTCTGCGGGGACAGCACTGGCTCCCGAGGGCTCAGCTCCTGGTCCTTCAGCCATCGCCTCCTCAGCTCTCGCAGCTGCTGCAGCCGCAGTTTCTCATCTGGCGTGTACCCCGACATGTCACGGTCCGTATCAAGACAAAAAGGATGGCGCGTCCCCGAGCCCGGGGCTTGTACCTCACGCGCGCTCCCGTACCGCAAAGCGACCTTGCGAGGACGCCTGGAAGCGGCGCGCGGTTATAACGTCACAAGCTGGTCCTGCAACTACCACAGCGCCAAATCCCCGCGCTCTAGGAAAGCAATCGCCTGTCATGCGCAACAGCTTCCACGGTTCATTATCAGCTCACTTTACTTTCTGAAGGGCGGTGGAGCATTTTGCGTATGGGATGGGAAGGGAAGTGATGGAGAAGTAGAAAATACGAGAAGTCAGAAGACTGGAATTGGTATGTTGAGAGCTGGAAGAAAGAGAATAGATGTTCAATGAATATGATATCCAAGTGCAAAATTCTTGGCTTGCATGTCGTACCATAGAATTCCTCTTCCCATGACCTACAGAGTCTCTGCAGGAGAGCCAAGTTCAAATCCCAGGCGTGTCAGTAACTGGTAAAGTGACCTTGGGCAGCTTTTACAGAAGTTAAGAGTAGCTTAATATCTACCAGTACTTCATAGATGCAGTTACCCTTTAACCCAGCAATCCCACTTCTAGGACTATCCCAAAGATGTAGTGGTTAAAATATGAAAGGGATATACGTGACGGTTCATTAGTGCACTATATATGATAGCTCAAACCAAAAAACCAAACTCACTGCCCTCGAGTCGAATCAGACTTATAGCAACTCCTCCTTGGGTTTCTGAGGCACTATCTCTACGGAAGTGGATTGCCCAATTTTCCTTCCTTGGAGTGGCTGATGGGTTTGAATCGCCAGCCTTCTGGTTAGCAGTCAAGTGCCTTAGGCACTATGCTACCAGAGCTCCCAAATATATATATATGGTGGGTGACACAGTGCCTGAAGCATTTGACTACTACTAACCAGAAGGTTGACAGTTCAAACCCACCAGCCACTCCACAGAAGGAAGACGGGGCAATCTATTTCTGTAAAAATTCACCCCTCAGAAGCCCAATGGGGGTTGCTGAGTTGGAATCAACTCGATGGCAGTGGGTTTGGTTTTGGTTTACATACACACACACACACACACAGAGAGTTTGTTGTCCTTGTTAGCTGCTGTGGAGTCAACTCTGACTCATGGCCCTTTTCTTTACCAAACATGATGTCCTCTAGCAATTGATGTCCCCTCATGATGTGTCCAAAGCAAATGAGTCAGACAATGTTCTGTTGTGTTCTTTACGGTTTTAATTAACTAATTTGTCTAAGTAGATCATGATGCCTTTTTTCCTAGTCTGTCTTAGTCTGGAAGTTCCAAAGAAACCTGTCTACCATCAGAGAACCTGCTAGTATTTGAAATACCAGTGACATAGTTTCCAGCATTATAGTAATGTACAAGTCATCACAGTATGACAGAGTGACAGACAAGTGGTGATACACACACTCACACGTTTGCTTAAGTTTTTAAAGTACTGGAAAGGAAAATTTTTTTTTTTTTTTTTAAGATTACCTATAGGGGAAGGCGGGAGCTCTGGTAGCATAGTGCCTAAGGCACTTGACTGCTAACCAGAAGGCTGGTGGTTCAAACCCACCAGCCACTCCTCGGAAGGAAGATGGGGCAATCTACTTCCGTAGTGATACTGCCTCAGAAACCCAAGGAAGGGTCGCTATGAGTCGGGTCTAACTCAACAGAAAATAACAACAACAATATAGGGGAAGGCGAGACTTCACCTCTCATACTTTGGTCATATTTTCAGGAGTGACTAGTCCCTGGAGAAGAATATCATTGTTGGTAAAGTAGAAAGAAGGTCAGTGAAAAAGAAGAAGACCTTCAACGACATGGATTGACACAGTGGCTGCAACAGTGGGCTCAGGCATGGCAACGATTGTGAGGATGATGCAAGACTAGGTGGTGTTTCATTCTGTTGTGCATGAGTTTGTTATGAATTGGAACCAACTGAACAGCACCCAACAACAATAACTTGGAGGAAGGAAGGGACTAGTAGAAGCTAGACTTCTCTAAATATACCTTGTTTCATAGATTTAACTTTAGAACCCTAAATATATTTCACATCATTATAAAACAAAATTAAATTTGTAAAAACAGATCCCTAAAAGTCAAAAGTAAAATGAAACATGTGGATCTAACTGATCTAGTCGGTGGCATAATATCAAAGATAGACACTGTTAGGAATGGAATTGTGTGCCCCCAAAATATGTGTCATTTTGGCACATTGTCAGTATTGTGTGATTATCTTCCATTTTGTGATCTGATATAATTATCCTGTATGTTACAAATCCTAATCTCAATGACGTTAATGAGGCAGGATTAGGAGTAGCTATGTTAATGAGGCAGGATACAATCTACAGTATTAGCTTTTATCTTCAGTAGATCTCTTTTGGGATATAAAAGAGATTGAACAAGGGAGCAGAGATACATTAGGACCTACTACCACAAAGAAAGAAGAGCCAGGAGCAGAACACATCCTCTGGACCTAGGGTCCCTTCACTGGGAACCTCCTAGACCCAGGGGAAGATTGATGCCAAGACACTTGGAGATCTCCAAGGGACACTGGACCCCCAGGTTTTGAAAGAAGACAAGGACCTCCAGAGCAAGCAGAGAAAGCCTTCCCCAAGAGCCAGCACACTAAATTTGGACTCCAGCCTCCTCAATTGGGAGAGAATAAATTTCTGTTTGTTAAGGCCATCCACTTGTGTTACGTCTGTTATAGCAGCAGTGGACAACTAAGACAACATCCCAAGTAACTTTAAACTATCAAATTACATCCATAGGAGGATATACCTCAAGGACAAAAACACCTGTAAAACAGACAAACCCTTACACTCTTTTTAGTAATCATATTGTTGATAGTGGTGGTGGTAGCAGTGTTAATCTGAGAAAATAAATGTTTATGTTAGTATTGCCAAGAGCTGTGATTTTTGCTGTGAGAGAAAAGAGATACAAATGTAAATTGTGTGAGTAAAAGCCCTCTGGTCTTGAATTTGAATTGGAAGAATCACTATATATTCATGATACATTTTGCTTTTAAAAATACATATTCACCCGGCTACCACTGATATCCACTTGGAAGGGATGTAGGAGATCCTGGATAGAGAGGGAGAACAATGTGGAACAAAACTCAAAATCATTTGGAGGGAAAAAAAAGAAAAAGATGGTGGGGACCAGGTTTGCTGGTCCAATAGAGCCTGATGGAACCACTGAGACTATGGCCCCTAGCTGTCCTTCAGGTCTGGCATTGAACCCACACCTGTGGTTTCCAGCCAAACAAAGTACGGGCATGTGAGTTAAACATTTACCTCAAGTAGACACACACCCTGGAGAGAACA